AGTGTCATATACCGCTGAAAGTTTCATTATTATAGGTCAAGGTATGAATTGATTTAATACATAAGAGAGGATAAACTATTTTCAAGCACAATATATAAAAAAATGATGTTGAAGAAAAAAATCAATTCAATATACACAATTATTTATTTTTTCCTATTTATAAATTTTCGAATGTATTCATGCAATATTATAAAATAAAAAAATGATGAAACATATTGGTTTAAATATCTCTCGATAATAATTTTAGATGTTTCAAATAATAGACATGTATAAAATAATAATAAAAATAAAATAATAAATAAAACGTACCAATTATATCGCAAGGCACCATGCAACTCAAAGATTCTCGCTCCTTCAAGTCTCTTCCGATTCTTAGATTTGATATGCAGATTTTAATATATTAAATGTTATTTATAGGGTTTAACAAGGAAGGTTTTTCCGCTTGACCAGTACTGACCACTGGCTACCTAGAATCGAGTTCATAGGGCTGACCAGGAAGTAACTACACCTGGCCCATCGAGTTGTGACATTTCTCCTTTTTGGGACGCACCAGGAAGTGTTTGCAGTAATGACAGGGTGTTTTCTCGAATTGTTAAGATTGTCTCACGCTTGATATCACCTACCTGTATGCTTGAATATTAATTTTAATAAATTTTGGCAGGTATTGCCTGCAGCAATTTCAACTGTCTGAAGCGGCATTAGTTGTGAAAATTATCGTTTTTCAATGAGCTATAATTCGACTGGTCATTCTGAGTAATGCGAAATATAGCGTGCATTGAAGTCCACTAAGAATAAATAACTAATTGCGTATTCATCCTTAAATGATAAACTATATTCGAAATTTAAAGTTTTTGAAATAACAATATACAAGTATGGGATGTTCTGAGGTGTAGTGCACGTGTTTATTACGTCACCTAGCAACTTTGTTGTGACCGAACACACATTTATATTTTCAATAAAAAATGTTTGATACTTTCACCTTGAATGCAATGTAATTAGGATATGATAGTTTGTTCAAACTGTATATAGCTGTTAAGCCCCGCCCCCCCCCCCCCCATCGACAATGTAGATTCGAAAGCTTGTTTAATTGAAGACATATTGAAACGAATTTGTTTCTTAAAATAGCGAGCCTCAAATCTGCAATCTGCTTTATTCAAAATATACATTTAAAGATTCTAAAATCTGAATGCAATTATGGATTAAAAAATAATCATAGTGCAAAATAAACATGTCCCAGAACATTTAACTAAGAAGGAAGATGATGGAGAAGGTAGGTCTTAATCCGATGTAATTTTTTTAGTTAACAATCTCATATGATGAAACGATAAAATAATCTAGATTTTCTCATTGGTGTCCTTGGTAATAACATTTTAGCAGACACGGTCTCTGCTGTCAGCTTTTAATCCATATTTCAAGTAATCAGACAGCGATCTAAACAGCCAAACTTGTTTACCTGATTTATAAAAAAAGTTTTAAACTCTATAAAAATGCATTTTACAAAAGGAACAACAATAAGATGTAATAAGATAAATTGTATTTACACGTATAGTGTTAACATAAGAATACATTTTCAGTGACTTTATCTTCGGAGATACACTATCCCTAAACACAAAGCCCGGCTTAGGAAAAACGCACATTGACGCGTTTTAACATCCATCGTCTATCCATGGTGACTTCAGTTCAGTTAGTTCAACCTGGCAAAACCCATATATTCAAGCTAAGGGTCAAGTTGTCATTCGTGATGAATTCATTGAAAAATTGTGCCAAACATTTTCTAGATTTAAGTGTACGCATACTGTATCTTGAATATAATTCAGAGAACACCTACGATTTTCAGGTTAAACTTTTATACACCATAAATGGTAACCCTTGGTACATTTCTCAGAATTCAACGATTATTTTGAACTTCCCTAAAATTACTGCTAAAATAAAGATTGGCGAAAAAGTTAAATCCAATTTAAACAAATCCTGAATACACAAAACCTTTGTTGACCAAGCTATTCATAGATTCATCTGAATACAGTGTGTAAAAAACACGTTGATGTGAAAGCCTGATCAGGATTTGATAGAAATCGCACATGAGTTCAATGTAGTTTATTTTTTATCTCACATAAAATAAATAACGGTATTTGCTATGATTGAACTATTTTACCATCCTGTTTCATGATCAGACATAGAAAATATGTGGAATGAAACACTGTTACTAAACGGTTGGGCAAATGAATGGGTTGTACCAATGAGTGGACAGTACCAATGAATAAGTATAGTGACAATGCAATTGATGGGTTGAACCAACAGTTGGTTAATGCTATTTCATAAGCAGATGAGTAAACATTTAGATTAATTGTAGCCTAGGCTACCTATAAACGTATTTCTTACTGCGTCATCAAACCATCAACATTAGCAACGTTATACACAGGCTGTTAACAAGGAACGATGTAGTGTTCAAAATAGGCAATGAATAGTCTATCTACAAGCCTCTGCGAGCCCCCCCCCCCCCCTCTACCTGACTATGTACAGCTTATCACACGTGTTGTAGTGACGAGGGGATCACAAGGGCTTAGCTAGACTAGGCAATGTATTTTATTCTTTAACTTCTTTTGTGCAAACATTCTACGAAACACATTTGGTAATGGTAAAAACCTATTTTATAAAGGGTTGTTTATTTTTCATGATATTTGGAATTCCTCTTTCTAAAGTGTTTGTATGTTTCTTAACATTTGAGCCAGAATCCGTATAGATGGCAGATAACTTATTTTCCCTGGCAGGTAGTTCTTAACACCAAGCTCCTGTAGTTCATGTGTAAGTAGGTTCTGGGGCGATATAAAGATGGCAGCACCATTACAATATAGATACACATAGATCGATGCCATACCATCTTTGTTCAAAAACTATTTCGATCAACCTTAGCCTATGTATAACTACATACATCAAATTAATGTAATGTTTCTTTTCTGAATCAGGAAAACCTCAGCCACATTTGACCTACGGCAACCGTGTGAAGGGCGTAAATCGAGAGAAATATGTATTATAAAATCTGAGAGTAACGAGATAAGCAGTACCGTATGTAGATTTTATATATAACGATTTTGTGAAGCTACGGCCCCCGTACGGTCGCCGTAGAGCAAATGTGACAGAGGCCTAATTACTGACATGTTTAAAGTTTCGATGTCATGAGCTTTTTGGATATTTCCATTGACATTTAATTTAGAAGATTTTTGGCATGTTGAAGTATACGATCAAACTCATTGAATCGTTCGCCATCTATTGACAGTTTTTATAGTCAATTATAGTTACCAAGTTCATAGTTAACCCTACTATCACACCAAACTAGTTCTCACTACGTTCTCGAAAACGGGCTTAAACTGTGCACGAACGGATTTGACGTATTAAGAACCCACTAAGAACCGTTTGGGATCTGTTTACAAACTTCATAAAATTACTAGAACGAGTAGGTCCTCCAGCACTTAGAGCATGCTCAAAATTTTCTGGTGATCGTCAAAACGTTGCCAAATCGGTTTTAAACTGTGTGCGAACTGAATGAACGTAGCTACAACGTTCTACGGTCTGTTTACGAACTTCATGGATTTTCCCGGACGGGGTATGTGATTTAGAATTTTGAATCGATTCAAAATTCGATGGCGACCATACCGTTCTGTAATCAGGTCATGATGACCTTCTAGACTAAGGGACGGTTTATACTACGTTGCACACCGACGTGGTGCGACCTGAACGAACTGCGAATGAGATGGACGTATTGAAAACTGTTTATGAACGAAGTAGCTAATTATTTTAGACATATATCCCGACCGCAGCCAGATTGAGCCCGTTTTACGACGTTTTCGTAGGACTGGCAAGAACGGATAAGAACTAGTTTGGTGTGATAGGGGGGTAAGTATCGTTTTATACAACACGCTATACCATCGTCATCCTTTTGTAACACGGTACATATTTTGTGGATATATATAATAAACGATGTGGTTAACATTTAGATGCACAGTGTTTTTAAATCTATAAGTTTACATGTATCGACATTTTTAGATGTTACGTGGATTTATGGATACCTGAAATACGCTCCAACAGCGTTTTTTCACACAAACGGGTATCGGCATTATATGTTTCATAAAATTGACATGTTTGCGAAAAAATAGCTCAGAAGACAGCAGAATCGTCAATTTAATTCCTCACTTAAGTTACATAAACGGTTTGGGTTAAACGTGCAGATCTTAACTGTTTTTCGAAAAACCGTTTATGTTAAAAATGTCGTGGGAATTCTGCCTACAACGTGTGAAATAAGGAAAAAAGAAAAATCGTACCTTCGATGTTCCGACATTTTGTTACCAAAACGAACCGTTTCGGTAACCAGCGTAATCGAGTGGATCATCAGTGAAGCACGCTGCATTGCATACGACTCCCAAAACCAATTTAGATATATGGAGTATATTTTGAACCAACACACCATTTTAAAAACAAAAACGCCATGGTTAATTAATGACCCTTATAAGTGCATCTTGCTATTCTTACTAAATATACAAAACTCTATGAAATTATCTCCCCTTAAAAGTTTAGCAATATAAATTTTCATTGGAGGTCATAAGAACCCCTATCAATGACGGACTGTTAATTAATTTTGTTCCTTAATTGTTCGGAAATGTATTACGACTATGCAAGACAATAAACCGGTTGAAAAACAGAAAAAAGGTTGTCAACCCGTTTGAATTGAATAGCGCCACATTTGGACCGATTTGTTGTACATATAGGCCTTGTCCAGCTCATTTGGCGTCTACATTTTATTAAAGACTTTTTTTAAATTCGGAAAGAAGCGTAACGTGGTAAAACGACATTTTGTCGGCATTTATGACAGAAATTAGATACGATTGTATAATAAAGAACATGCTTTAACTCCACGTGATTTTAGGGGAATCGATTTTCATACTTTTGGAAGTGTTTGATAAGAAATCACACACTTCAAACAAAAAAAGCATACCGTTTCCCAAACTATTGATTTATTCACGATTAAGTCGAACAACTATTTCAGAAATTGAAGAAATAAAGTATATTTTCATCACTGCGATGGCCTTTCTTTAGTTGGTTTCCTTTTCAAATCACTCTAAAAATATAAACAGATAGAGGAACACATGCTAACGTAAGAATGGGCTTAATGGAATAATTATTCGAAGCTAGAAAGGGGGATGGAATTGAAGACAAAATGCAAGAAACAACAATTCAATGAATATCAGTATACTAAATAAATCTGTTTATGTCCATTAAACTAACACAAATCACGAAGAGGTGCATTTTTTCTAATAATCAATGTGATATCCGCAATTACTAGTATTAGAATTTAAATGCGTATTGTAAAAGTGCAAAAAGCTTAAAAGTGTGTATTTCCTGAATCACGTTAATCCTGTCCTGTATGACATTTTCGAACAAAGGATGCTATAAAATCGACGTTTATCTCTGATTCTGGAAATATGTAGTTTTCATTTTACTACCAAAAAAGAAGTTACTAAAAACACTTGACTGACGTTCGGAGTTTGGCGTCAAGAGGCGCGTTTGATGATCCTACGTATATTTAACTTACCATTGTGTGTACATGCAATCTGGCATTTATGTAGCAACGCATATGCCGCTCGGACTACACACTGCATTCTCTACACAACAATCATCAGCCGAACAAGGGCCACCCACCTCTATTCCTGAAACAGATACAGGTAAATAGTTAAATGTGAATTAAATCGATAGATGGCAGCAATGACAATGGTATGAAATATATGTACAGGGTGACCCAAAAAATGCAACCCTCCATTTCTTCAATATTTTTCTTGAATGGAGGTTTATTGTTCTTAAACAACCATAACTCTATCAATATAAGACTATGATTATTAAAACTTTGCCAGAGGATCCCACATTGAATGAAGTCCTTGTGTGCCAAATTTCAGAGCAATTTACCTGCATTTAAGAAAAATATTGAAGAAATGGAGGGTTGCATTTTTTTGGGTCACCCTGTACAATTTAAAAGAAGTTTTCTGCGGTTCTTTGTAAACAAAATTTGGTGTAAAAATATTAAGAGATAAATTATATATTAAAGAAGACGATATTGATTTCTTGCAGAGGGATATTAAAATCAACGTTTAAATATATGACATGGTTGCTTTGACATGTATTCATATTTCCCGAACAATTATTTAATACCATGTGTCCACATTTTATATGTATAAGGATATGAGACACACAAATATTCAACTCATGCTTAAAGAGTTTATTGCACTGTATATCAATTTTCTTTTCCTATCGAAATTATGTAAAACGTGCTCCCCTGAATCAATATAGATGCTCCACAGGCGTAACAACCCTAAGACTTACCTATAATGGACGAATAAAGAAGTATAAAAATGCCCATCTGAATTTTGTTATATTTATTCTCCTTGGAAAGAGAGAAAATGGCCTTGAACCTAGATTGCACGCGCGATCTGAAGTAAGCCTACGTGCAATGTATTTCTGATGTACAAGAATAATCTAATTGTACATCCCGTATTGCACCAATCAATCGAAATATTGTAAAACAAGCATATTACTAAATTGAGTAAAAGGAAGTGCTTTAAACAAAAATTTCAAAATAAGCTCAGTTTCATCACAAGGGCGCCGGGGATTAGTATTGTGTTAAAAATTAAATCAACATAATACTCCCATCGCCAAGGCCCCGATACAGTGTGAATCTGACCTTATGTAAGCGAGGTATTATCGGGCGTGTTCATTCAGGTGTTGTAATAATCGCTCGGAATCGCAGCTCTGTCACGGTGAATAGAGGAGACACGATTCAAATTCAAATTGGTTTTAGCCTACTTCAAACGTATTCCGAGTGAACACAATCAGGGGGTCCAAACATTGTGAACTATTTATTCACAATTACAGGAGTGAGCGTGATAAGCTCTACTCAAAATGTATTATGAGTGAACTCAACATGGGGGCCTAAACATCGTCAACTATTCATTCATAATTACAGGAGTGAACGTAACCAGCTCTATATTCATGTAGTCTAATGTGCCTATGTAGACGTCATCGTAGGCTCATGAATATAGAGTTCAATTGATCGAAACCGAAACAACACGTTCACTGAAGTGTGATTTATTAAGAACAACAAACGATTATTTGTGTTTTTATATTCTAATTCATTTTCTTATGCTATGATGAAGTTTATTCAACGGGAGTCGCAATTATTTATATATACCGTACAATAAACACTTTAACAAGTAAGAACTCTATAAAATCTATATGTTAAGTATTCTGACCCTACCGACACCGCGTGCTGCCATCTATTCATCGATCACTCTATTTAACTACTAAGTACATGTATATACAAGGAGGGTTGACTCCTCCTCCTCTTCAATATTTTCCAACAATGAAATTGTCAGAATGTCGTTATTTTCTGGAACTAAACTGACTTTAAATAATAAATAAATAATCAACAGTCCAAAAAGATTCGAACCAATATATCGATCACTTTTTGTGTGTTTTGATTTTTTTATTTGGAAATAAGACCAACATTCGCGATTCTAATTCTGAAGTGAATAATTGGCGACTGTTTGAATTCGAATCTTATAATTGCGACTGGGAGAATATCTAGTTGGAACCCTGGGAGCCTATCCTCCTTGAAGTATATAGCAAATTGTAGGTTTATCTTTCCTTACCTCCCATCGCCGCTTCAATACTTTGAATCTGACTCTTCATATTTGTTTGGCTGCTGATCAAAGACTCGACTGCATTCTTGATTGAATCAAGCGTGCCAGATAAATTTGCAATTTGATCATTCATCGCTTTAAACTGCTTTTCTGTTTCCGATTTCGTACATTTATTATCCTGAGCCGTCACAGATGTTGTCAGATGTCCTACGATTACGCCACAGCCGAAAAGTGCTAAGAGAATTGCGTTCATCTTGTCAGTTGTCTCAGCAATTTAGTATTAAACAATTTAAAACAAGAATTATTGGAATGCATACTTATTAGCATTAACAAATATCAGTGGTATATATACACATCTGATTAAACATTGACAGTAAATATCATACATTAATATATGTTTGTCTGGCATTGTACTAATGGAAATTAGATGCAATATTTTAAACCTGCTCTTGCATTTTGCATGTTGAGCGTGATGCTATTAATATAAATTATATTATATTAAATTCATACAGATTTGAGATATTGTATTTTGTATATTCAAGAACTTTACTTGCATGTGACAGAAGGTCGTCATTGTTGCTTTGCAGTATATAATTGCTGGAATTACACCACAAAATCCGCTATTTAAAACGTTTTAGTGGAAGGCGTCTTACAAAATCGCCATTCTGATTACACCAACATTTCTAAAGCGTCTTAGGAATTATGTTTTGGAATTACACCTGTTTTTTCTAAAACGCCTTTCGTGCACTTTTAACGATGTATTTATGGATAATATCCAGCATATATGTATATGTACATCTCCTGTAAATGTATTCTTTTTGCATCTAAGACAAAACTGATCTTCCATAATTTGATTAAAAATGCATGACATTGCATAATTTTTATTTATCTTTTATTAATTATGAGAAAACATAATAAAAAGGTAAAAGAAAAATATGTACGTATATTCTCTGAAGATAACACTTGATTTCGATGAGACCTGGCGACCATCATCCATTTTTCAATTTAGATATAGTAGCCAGATAGCAGCGTGACCGGATGTCTCATCATGTATCAAATGTTTCAAATGTATCAAATATTTCGTTTAGGGCAAATGTTAAAAACTAGTAAAAACCCGGGTTAGGCGTTTTACAAAAACCGATCGGTATTACACCGCACACTTAAAACGCCTAACGACTTATGCCGTTTACTAGTGACAAGGGTTCTTGGAGTTTTAGAAAAGCGCTTTTGTAAAACCGCAATCGTGATTACACCAAATTCTTAAACCTGGCTAAAACCGAAGACGCTTTTGTAAAACGCCATGTGTAATTCCAGCAATTCAGTCGTATACTTACTTACACTCCCCTCCATAAGTTTGGCAACCCTATCTCCCTCATTGGATTACGTGTTAAAGCCTCTTAATGTTTGAATTTAATTTTATTCACATAACCAGCTTTGAAAATATTTAAAATAAAGGTGTTAATGTAACTTGACTTCATTTCCAATGCCTTTTTACCAATTTTTTCTCAATTACAATTAAGGTCGAAAATCGATGACAAATTTGATACATTTTTGAAAATTGACATTCCCATGTGAACCAATGGGAACTGATGGGTTCGGGGCAAATCAGATTTTTGGATACACAGCAAACATTTCTCAATGTTGATTTAACAAAAAATCAACCTTGATTCAACATTGATCTTCTCAAGCATTGAAAAAGCAATATTTGCCCAAGTGTTATTTCAGTGCTGAATCAAGCTTGATTCAGGCTTGAAAAAATCAATGCTAAATCAAGGTTGAGAATATTTTGAGTAAATCAAGGCTAAATCAATGTTAAATCAAGCTTAAAATAAGCTTAATCAAGGCTGAGGATATTAATGCTAAATCAAGGTTGATGATATTTTGGGTAAAATTATGGTTGAATTAATGATCAATCAAGCTTAAAGTAAGCTTAATAAAGGTTTAGGATTAATACTAAATTAAGGACTGATTTAATAATAAATCAAGCTTGAAACAAGCTAATTAAGTTAGAAGATGTTTAATGCTAATTCTATGTTTTTTTTATTCAAAAACATAATAAACACACAATTTTATCGAAATATATATTATAATTTATTTTCCCATAACTTATTTACATTGAATTTAGTATGTAAGTACTACTAGTATATCTATTTGGCCTGCTCGCTATCTCTGCGATTCTCTCTTTAAGTATTTGTGTAACAAAGGAACACATTTGTTTTGGAAATGATCAGCAGTCTCTATAATATTGTCAAAGTTGCAGCACAGAAGGATATACTACAGTCTATTCGTCTGAAGTCCTTGTATTTGTCATGGCGATGGCTTCTGTTTGGATCTTTTTAAGGTCCTCCCATCTTGTGTGGTAACTGGAATTATGAATGTCCTATACATTAATACACTGTAAGTATAATATTGTTTACCAATATTATTACAAAATTATGCATAAGCCTTCTACCTATTATTACTTATCATGTTATCTTTATTACTTTTGACTCAATGTGTAGACTTCAAAGGTAAAAAAAAAAAAATTTATCAAGTTCAATAATTTTGAATTCTATTACCATTGGAGTAAGATTGCTGGCATATAGGGCACCATATATAGGAATTACAAAAGTTGTATTTATTAGAAGTGTGTAAATTAAATAAGTTTAAAAAGTCCATATTGCCCATTTACACTTACCGTTGAGCAACTCCTTTGACATCCTCAAAGAAGGATGTTGAATCCTTTAGGCCTTTGTTGCCTTCTACACTTTCCCATAATTGGGACATATCTGTTGCCTTCCTCTGAAAGAAGTATTTGATTCCATATTCAAAATGCCCTTTGTATGCACCATTCAGAAAAGGAAAGTGAATGCTTCCACGCTCTCAATGTCTATCTATACATTTGTTGACACATTCAAAGAAGTTATTTCACATTAGGCCTACTTTTCAAATTATTGTTAAACATGTTAAATGTTCATTGTTAATTAACTGATTCTTCAATGGATAAATTAACTAGATCACCTATAGGCTGTATAGTGTATAGTACCCCAGACAACTTCAATGGAACAACTATTCTTCTTGAAATTTTTAAGATTCATTCTGGAGGCAATTTCCAACATGGAAAACTGTATTTTATTGACACTGAAGTGTTTTTAAAAAAAGCTATCAAAATCATAAGATTATGAATTTTGATACAATATTTAATTTACAAGTTGGAAATTGTCTCCAGAATAAATCCTGAAAATGTCAATAAGAATGGATGTTCCATTGCAAATATAGATTAAAAACACAACTGCATCATTGAAACTGTTCTAATAATTGTATTTTCCAATGCTATAATACTCACCATTGCCATGAGGCATTGCTGCACATCCTCTTCTGAAGAGGTGCCAGTTGGAATGTTACTAAATACAGCTCTTCTTAGGTGTAGTAATGTTTTACCCTGCATATGCTTGCCCTTTTGGTGCATCTTAATTGTGAATTAATCAATTAATTTGATAAATCAATACATACCTCGTGAAAGTTGTTCATAGTTTAACCATCCTTTTGGGTTTTTGCTCCACCCCCACAAGCTTTTTGTTGTTATAACTGATAACAGTTACCTGAAAATATAGTTTTCTATGAACATTGGCAGATTTGCTTACCATAATAGTTAATGTAAATTAAAGTTCGAAATAATATCTTTGAACAGAGAATTCAGTTTGCATACACAAATTGTTTATAATATTTTAACAGGGGCCAAAAGTTAATATATAATGCTAGATTATTTTGTCTCAGTTAGGGTTGACATATTTACAATTTCATTATAGCCCTGTGAGGAAGCATAGGCTATTAACATGTTGAATTGGTGATATGACATGAGGGCATAATAAGGTTATGAACATGGTAGCATGATGAAATGAATGGTGATATAACATTGGGGCATGATGATATAAAACAAACATGGTGATATAACATGGGAGCAGGTAATATGAAATGAACATGGTGACATAACATGGGAACATGGTGATATGAAATGAACGTGGTGATATAAAAGGGTACATGGTGATATGAAATGAACATGGTGATATAACATGGGATCATGGTGATATGACATGAACATGGTGATATAACATGGGAGCATGGTGATATGACATGAACATTGTGATCTAACATGGGAACATGGTGATATGAAATGAACATGGTGATATAACATGGGAACATGGTGATGTGAAATGAACATGGTGATATGACATGGGGGCCAATTCCAACGATACGCTGAATAAGCAAAATAAATTATTATTAGCCTAGATTTCATAAAACTGTTAAAACGTTTACTCTACGCACCTAGCCTAAATAGCTAATCCCAGTTGCATTCCACATTGCTGATACATGGCCCTCCATCCATTGATTATGTAATTATTGTATTCTTCACTGCCTTCACTCCTCATGATATGCCAACATCTGACCAATGCCAACATCAAGTCTATAAAATAAAAAGGTAGCCTAGAAATATCACTCAGAAATTACATTTTGGCCAGGATTTTGGCCCATGTCTGGCTTCATTCAGAAAACGTTATGCATTGCAGATTATAAATATCTTTTTTAAAACTCCAAAGAACTAGCCTATGCCCTGGACTTTTAAGACAAGACTTAGTTTCAGTGACTTTGAAAATTTTTTTTCAATTTCTCCTGAATTTATTTTTAGATCTATCTTTGAATTTCACCCTAGCCTATCCCATAGAGCCTATCTGGTATTTGAAAGTCTTCTATATAATAGGTGCACCTAACATATGCTCATTTATTCATAACAAAACAATCAAATATATACTTACAAGTGAAAATTGTAGACAGATGGCAGAGACTGGCACAGAAATCAAAATTTAAAATATGTGGCTTCTCAAACTTCCTGTATGAGTCATAGAATGTGTGACGTCATAGGTCAAAAGTTCAAGGGGATTTCCCAGGGATTTCCCTAAGATGTCAAACTCAATGAAGAAATCACAATAATGAATGTTATTTATAATAAAATATTTCAAACTCTAAATAAGTAATATCAATATTGCTTAATTCAATCAATAATACTGTAATAATAGTCAGAAAAATTATAAGTTTTGTTAGTGCTAAATCAGCACTAACTTAGCACCCCGCTTAGCACTAAATAACTTGGAATAAAATCACCTGGAATGGAAACTCCATTGTGTATCTATTGCTCCATTGTTCTATGTCTGTCTCCCATTGTTAAAAATAACAAATCCCCGGTTGCCTTGACGAGTTATTACGTCATATTTCATGAACACCGACGTCACATTCCGTACATCGTTTCCCTGACGATCGTAAGTTTTATAAACAATGCTGTACTCGTTGACCATGTAAGATTTTATTCAGTGTATCTCACGTCTTCTTCGTTCACAGGCCCGTAGCCAGGATTTACTTGGGGGTGGGGGAGCGGTTTTACCAAGGGCATGGACTTTCAATTAGAATCTAATTGAAAGCCCTT